CTGAGCTTTATTTACCACTTGTGATACAAAGCTACCCCTTAGGCCCAAGTCACTGACTTCTGGATATTGACAAATCCTCACAAAGCTTCCCTGGAAGATACATCCCTTATGTCTACACAGGAGAGGGTATGAAGGAAAAAATAAGGCTGGGGATTTCTGCTCTAGAATACAGCTGGCAGGGGGTTACCCAATCCTACGATCCTGAAAAAAGGGGTGTCCACGTGTGTCTGCCCCATTCTTTTCCTCTCCCTTTAATAGGAAGTTTTTTCCCAACTCACCATCTCCCATCTCATCAGAGAAGGGCAGGCTAAACACAGCTTCGTCAATCATCCGGTTGGGAAGGTTTGTGTAGAACCTGCCGACTGTGGTCTCCAGGTTACTCAGCTGGTTCAGCACCATCATGCTGCCCTTGATCACAGGCAAGGCTGTCCGGTCTGGCACACCATACTTCCCAGAGTTCTGCTCAGCCAGATCCCTCAGAAAAGCCAGCTCCTTCAAACCAGTCACCCCATCTAAAATGGAATGCCAAGAGAAGACCACGGAAAGCAAAATAGTTTACATCCGCACAGTAGCTTGCCATTTAGGTCTAACATGCGCAGGGATGAGGTCTTGCAATGCCAAAGGTGCGTCTTTGCAGAGACAATGTGGACTCAGGACACAAATACCAGTTCCTGCTCAGGAAATAAAGCCTGAGGCATAGTCTTGCCTTAAATAGGCAGGAGGGGAAAGGGATTCTTCAAAAGGCAATGATGAAAAACACATAAGTAAATAAAGGAGTCCCATTCAGTAAGAATGTATTCTCCTCCAAAAGTTTAATTATAAAATTTAAATTCTTTTTTTGCATTTAATATTTGAAAGCAAAAGTAATGATTAACAAGTCTGCATTTAATTTAAAGCAGTAGATGACATTGTAAGAGTTTTAAAGAATAGAGGTTTACCATTTCATTCCTTACCTCTTTGTCTGTAAAAGCACTTGCCAAAATCTCATGCAACTAAATGAAAGAATTATGAATTGCATGTAGCGATGCCTCCAAACCCTGTTTCTTTAAGCACATTTTAATTACAAATATTTTCATGCTTGATATTGTTAAGATAATACTGAATTTGATTTATCTGTTGTGTATTTTTTATATTTAGAGGGTTTTGAAAACTTTGTACAAGATTTAGACATACTGGGACGTATTGTTCTACAACATCTGTAATCTATAGCACAAAAATAAATTTAATAAACCATTTTTTTAGTTTGCTATTGTTGGAACACAATCAAAAGGATTAGAAACCGATCACATATGGGTATCACTGTAAACACATTCAAACGATTTCAGTCTCTACTGAGATTCCACCATTGCGTTTTAAAAAGGTTTTGCTTCACGTTCTGTTCAGTCATTAAAAAGAATCTGAAACTTTCATGGTCCACCTATCACGTGTCTTTATCATTTCTACATGGGGAGTGTACATATTTCCAGCATCAGAAGTCCATTTCTAAAATCATGGGAGAATCTAATGGATATAATTTTTTCCTTAAAATATATTTAAATAAACTTGAATTTTACTCCACTCATGCAATGTGAAAAGAAAGGGGGGAGGAAACTATCTGGGCCAAATTAAGTCAGAATTGGATTATTGTTCCCTTTGCTTGGCATAGAGCTATAAAAGGATGGTGAGTGTTATGTTCCAGGGTAAAAGACAACATAATAGATGTGACTGATTCCAGACCTCATAACCTTGAGAAGCTCAGAGGTGAAATAATAAAGGGAGACAACTCAGGCTATAAATACATTTCCTTTCTTTGTCATATATTGCTTGGCTATCTTAAAATATAAAAGAAAAGTGACAAGAATATCTACTAGGCAAAGAAGCGCAGTGTGGGATGGAAGGCTGTGGAGGATCGGGTATTTTGTGTTATTCCACCAGGAAATGCTGTGCAGGGTGGCAGGAGGGTCAGTAGGGTGGCCGACTGGCAAGTATGCTGCATTGTGTACTGACGACACTGCTAGAAACTACATTTCCCTGAATCCCCCTTTCCTGTATGCCTCCAGGTTAAAGGTGTCGAAAGGGAAGGGCTGCACTGGGAGCTTTGAGAGGCAAAGTAGGAGGTGGTGAGAGACACAGAAGGACCAGAATGTTCTAGTTTGTCAGATCTGCATTCAATTCCCTTTCCCAACTGCTGGCTTACTTTCACAACAGCAACCTCAGGCACATTCCAGATGCTTCACTGAGAATGCACAGGGACCAGCAGCTACAAAAGGCCAACACTTCCACACCAGGCCTCCAGAGTGGTCTTCAGTATTCTTATCTTCCAGACTGGGTTACTAAACTTTCTCTGAGTTCTCAACTCTTATTTTCGGACCTTTAACTTTTCTACTTTCATTTCGCAATTGTGTGCGTTCTTATTCAGATAAAAATTCTTTATTCTAGAATTCTCATAGTGGTTCTGCTTCCCTACTTGAGCCTTGCTTGACAGAGCGAGGGAATGTGTCTGCCCTGGCGATCAATACTCGGAAATGGGATTCTGACAGGGAGAGGCAGACGACTGGCCATGAGGATGTTTGTCTGGCTAGGTTATGGGGAGAAAGAGAAGAGACAAGGATGGCTAGACAGAATCTGTTCCTAGAGGTTTTCAAGAGTGGAATTATCAGGGACACAGCAAATGTACAAGAGACTCTACTCTGGTGGAAGGACTTAGGACCAGAGAAGGAACAGGTGACAGCAGGGAAGCCAGGGACTATGTATACTACAGCTCTAGGATTTAGTATACTATGTTTTACACTGTAGATACTCAGTCAATTTCATTTTTCCCCCTTCCACTCTCCTTCTTTCCTTCCTTCCTTCTTCCCCTCTCTTTCTTCCTCTCGCGAGTGAAAGAAGCTGACCCAAAGGAGAAATGAACAACAGGCAACCAGAGATGACACTGAAGGCTGTGTGTCCAGGCAAAAAGAAGCTACCCCTACCCCCTTCAGCTGCGCTAGTATCCAGAATACAAAGAAAACGAAGACCTAGTCCATGGCTGAGAAGCTCACATTCTTGTGGAAAGTGGAGGGAGAAGGAAGAGAGGACAATATGTGAGCGCCTCACTACAGTATGACAGGAGACATGCTTAGCACAGCATGCCAGAGGACACTGAACTGAGACCTGGCCCTGGACAGCAGAGGTGCCCTCCACCTCGGAGCTGTGCTGAGACAGGAAACCACATGATCTCTTATCCACTCCTTCAGCTGGCCTTGAGGACCTGTTACTTACCAGGTACTATATTAAGAACCTTAAACACACATTGTATTTTGTTTATTATCACAGCAATCCTATGTGGTAGATTTTATTATTATTATTTCATAGGTAAAACCGAGGCCTAAATAGATCAGGTAACCTGCCATTAGCCACACATCTAGTAAATGCAGATTCTAGTAGATGCACAATCTAGTAAATGTAACCGAGGGACTGTTGACCATCAGAGTCCATGTTCTTTCAGGAGTGGTCCATAAAACATCTGGTAAAGAATCACCCTGGCCAAAACACAGATTCCTGGAACCCTTCTAAGATGGTCTGAATAAGAATCTGAGGGCATGGCCGGGCGCGGTGGCTCACGCCTGTAATCCTAGCACTCTGGGAGGCTGAGGCGGGTGGATTGCTCGAGGTCGGAAGTTCGAAACCAGCCTGAGCAAGAGCGAGACCCCGTCTCTACTATAAATAGAAAGAAACTAATTGGCCAACTAATATATATAGAAAAAATTAGCCGGGCATGGTGGCTCATGCCTGTAGTCCCAGCTACTTGGGAGGCTGAGACAGAAGGATCGCTTGAGCCCAGGAGTTTGAGGTTGCTGTGAGCTAGGCTGATGCCATGGCACTCACTCTAGCCTAGGCAACAAAGCGAGACTCTGTCTCAAAAAAAAAAAAAAAAAAAAAAGAATCTGAGGGCAGTGCCTGGGAATCTGCATTTTAAAACCATTCTCTAGGTAGTAATCCTTAGCACATTAAAATATGAGAACTACTGTCCCCCAAACCTCAGGATTCTGCATGGAGATCTGGAAGTGGATAAGAGAAACAAAAGACTGCAGGTTGGAAAGGCTGCTTGGTCAAGACAGGGTTTCTTAAGCACAAGGGAAGAAGGCCACCTTGGTACCCAGGGCAAGGGGCCGGAAGAAGCAGCTGTGGGAAAGACACAATGTAGCACAGAGGCTAGAAGGCTGGGTTGCACCCAGACTGGACGACAGGTCGGACAGCAGAAGGGAAAAAAGTGGGGTATTGGCTCAAATTTGCCAGTTTCCTAACCCTTTCACATACTGTCATTTAACAGCAACACAATCTATTTTAACAAGTACCTAGCAAGTACCAGGTACTGTTGTGTGCGTTTGCTGTACACTAAGGTGAATCCTCACAACAACCCTACAAAGTAGATAGTTCCTATCTCCATTCTACAGCTAAGGAAGCCGAGGTGGAGAAAGTGGCAGAGGAGTTTTCAGGTAGTGATTCTGCGGGGAAATGGGATATTCATAGCCTTGGTTATACAGAAGAATCTAGGTCAGTGCTTTGGCTTCCTGCAGCTTCAACCAATGAGATTAGTTAAAATCATAGATAATCCTAGAATAGGAAGGAGAACTGAAAAAAAGGGAGCTGTACAGAATCCTCTGCAAGACCATATATGTGCAGAAAGTTTAGAAACGAGCAGTTGGCCGGAGAGAGATGAAAAGGACATCTTAACGCGGCCTGAATACCAGCACCAGGTAGAGAAAGAGCTTACGCCTCTCCCCAAGCACACTGTTATGATTCTTTTTTTTTTTTTTAAAGCAGCACACATTTACAGGGATCTTTGATCTGAAAGAAAAATCTCGAAACGCTACCTACCGTTCATGAGGGCATAGGTGAGAATCATTACAGAGTTGTTTAGAAAGCTATTTTCTTCATTGATGACTCGGAGAGTTGTCTTTTTATCTTCTTCCGAAGAGTCCTTTGATGTAATGCCAGCTGACAGGTAAATGATGACCATGTCTGTATCTAAACAAAAACATACAAATTGAACGCTCCATTTGGATTCTGGCTGGAGGCAGCAGCTCAGTTTCCTTTTCATTTCCCCTGGACTTCCCCGACTCGAGGACCCGCCTGGCCCGCTGTTCCCAGTCCTTCCCGCTCGATGCTGCGCTTTCATCTCCCCGCCTCTGCCTCTCCTCCCTCCTGCGCCTTCTGGACAGCGAGGCCTCATTTATCCAGTGTCAGGTAAAGAGATGTGTGTTCCTAATAAATTTCTCAGATAAAAGAAGGCGATTCCCTGTAGGCACCCATGGTTATAGTAATTTAAGCCAGTCCGAGTGGAAATCTCTCCTGCCCTCTGAAACGGAGGATTCAGAACACGATTTATCCTTTCCCCAGTGATGCAGGATCACCGCTGTGAACACACATTTTGGGGGGACTAGGCTTTAAATTGGTTGGTTTCTTCCAGGGGCTCTCTGGGTACGTAAGGTTATCTGCCCCCTGCACTAACTATCTCAGCAGTGAGAACCAGGACTTAGGAGCCAGTCGCCTGTGTTCAAAACCCGGTTCTGCTCCTTACAGGCTGAGTCTGGGAGACTGAGGCAGATTTCTTGACCTCTCTATACCTAAATTTCCTTGCCCATGAGATGGAGCAGTAATAGGGCTGATTCAAGTCATTTAAGTAAAGAGTGTGCGCAAAAGAGTGGCGGCAAAAAGAGGACGAAACCTCAACACAGACACAAACAAAAACGAACCCCTTCTACTGGTCTGCAGCGGCACCTCTGATTTAGGGTCAAAACTACTCTCCAAATATTGCTGATGGGTAGAGTAATTGAGAAGTAATTTTAGCTCAGTGAGAAGAATGTCTGTCAAGTGGACTGACTCAAAAATAAAAAGTGATGAATTTCCTCCTCTAGAGATATAAACAAGCAGAGGCTGAATGCCCACTTTAATAAAAGGAGGGAGGTCAGAGAGCCGGACTTTTACATTTTCTTTCTAATCTGAGATTCTTTGATTCAATATATATATATATTTTAGGACATTCTACATAGTTAATTTTTTTATTGAGAAATAAATATTGACATATTAATAATATGTTATATACTTATATGTTCTGGCTCCTATGGTTGTCATTTAACTGAGGTTGCTTTATAGTGACTATGGCAGGCACCGTCCGAGTTGGTCTCCCAATGAGCCCAACTCTTGATATTCATTCACGTTCTAGGGTTGTTGCCTCCTCTTTCGTGTGGGTTGGACTTTGTGACTCGCTTATAATTAATAGAATGCAGCAGAGGTGGCGGGACATCAAGACTGAGATTAGGCTACAAAATGACTGTGGCTCTTGCAGTGGGTGCCTTCTCACTCTGAGGGAAGACAGCTGGCAGGCTGTAAACAGTCCCATGGAGAGAGGAGGAATGGAGGCTCTCAGAATTGAAAATCCTGCCAACAACAAAGTGAGAAAGTTTGGAAGCAGATCCTCCCCCAGCCGAACTTTGAGATGACAGCACCTGTGGCCAGCAGTTTGTCTGCAACCTCATGAGATGCTTGACTGAGGCACACAGCTATGCTGGGCCCAGATTCCTGACCTACAGAAACTATGAGATAATAAATCTGCACTGTTTTAAATCACTGAGTGTTGGGACTATTTGTTACGCAGCACAAGATAATAAATACAGTTATCCTTTAAAAAATTATCCTAGTGATGAAGACACAATGCCTGAATTTCCTTTGGTTTGTAAACTTCCATTTTATATTTTAAAGTATTCTTATTATGCAGAATCGAATAGTTAATTTATATAGTATCAAAGTTGTAGATAACTGAATAAAATTTGACTCAAGTAAATGCATTCAACATTCCTCTTATTTATTTCTAACATGTAAAATAGAGGCAAGTCTTGAAAGGCAATTTTGATACTTGAACAATTCTCTTATGAACATTAATTGTAAATTTCAACGTCACTCTTTAGTTATCAGAGATTAGGAAGTGAATTCTGATACACACACAAAAAAGTCCGTAAGTTTTAGGAATATTACTGTCTTAAAACTAAATGTCAAATTTTTCCCATGTTCTAAATATAGTCCTGTAAATTATTTTATAAGCACCCTATACACCTGATTTAAGCTTCCAACTGAAAACAAAAACTGCTTGACTCCCTAGTGGGGAAAACAAAGATATGCCATGAGGCTGATACTACAGTAGAAAACAAAACCATCTCCTTATAGCAAATGTACCACGTGTGATAAATCCTGGACAAACCTGGCCTGACCTGAAAGAGAACCCTTTGAGTTTTCTTACTTAAGTCTTATGATTCTGGATAAAATATACTGTCACTGAGATCTGTTTTAGGACACAGGCCCATGTTTGGAAAACTAGAAGGCCTTCAGCCCTCGGGCTTCTTTAGCAGCCAAGCACAATTTCTTTCCATTCTAACAATAAGACATCCCCTCTGGAAGTATCCTAACTGGCTCTTCCCAGCCCCTGACACCATTTCTACCTTGTCGTCAATAAAAACTGAGTTATTTTTCCACTCTTATCAGATCTGCCAAATTTGGTTGGTATTTTTTTCTTTATGCATTACTTGTGATTAGTAATGTTAGGGAGGAGTAATTACAAGGACTTGGGATAGAGCAAAGATGCATTGGCAGCATATAAATAGAAGAAAATGCAATAGATGTCCCATTTGCCGAGCCTCTCTCTCCAAGCCAGCAGCGTGTCCTGGGGTCAATATCCAAATGGGAAGAACAACTCAAATTTGGGCTATGCCCATGCCATTAAATCCCCACTCCTAACTATCTTATTTTTTTTTTGCTATAAAATGATCCCCCAACCAATTACCCCACAAACAAACTCAGAAAAAAACAACCCCCAAAGTGTTAATGCTATCAGTTATAGATCTACTACTATGGGACTGAGGAGTCAGCATTTGATAGAAGTTTTAGGTTTTCTGATTGGTACAAACCAACAATTAGTACAAACCAACAATCATCTATGACACGTAGCTTCTGTTTACATGGCTACTAATATGGAGCAGATACTTTAATTTCTTACACAGACTAACCCTTATAATAATCCCAAAGGGCAGCTCTTACTCATTTGGATAACCTTGCCCATGGCACCTAGTGCCACATAACACACACAGCAAATGCTAAATAATTGTCTGTGGGGGTGAAGAGAAGTAGTGATGTATAGTGTAAACTCCTGGGAAGAGTAACAGACCCCCCACTGTGCTGTTGTCAAGGCTACTGGCACTGTCCTTTGGGTTAGGGTCAACTTAGGACATCTAGGGTATCTGTTCTAGTTTAGCAGGAACTAGAAGTCTTATAGAAAACTGAGTATCATAATAACCACAGCTAATATTTATTGAATATTTAGGACAGAATCCTGGATCTTGTTATCACCCTCAGTTTGCAGATGAGGAAACCAGGTCCAGAGAGATCAAATAATTTAGATGAATTCACAAGGTTAGAAAAATTTCAGAGTGGAACACTGGTTGAAATCCAAAACCCACATACTTGACTCCTAGGATATATACTGCTTGAGAGCACCCTGAAGCCGCTCCTTAATAAACCAGACAATATTAATTCCTGAAGTATTTCTTTCTACAAACTAATCTGGGCTGTTTTTTTTCTAAACTGCCAGTGAAACCTGTATGTAGACTGGAGGCTGGTGAGCTAAACCTTAGAAACATCTTACTTGGCCTCAAACAGACTCCTTTGAGCATTTAGAAAACTGTGCCATCAAAATTTGTCCAAGTCTCTCATGGTCATTCTTGCTGTGTTTTTGTTTGCCAACATTAAGAAAAGAAAAACAAACGCAAAAAAAACCCAGAGGAGAAATGCCTCCCATCAAACCAGCCTTCTGCTAACATGCAGTGCAGGGATGTCTGTGAGAAGAGGTTTAATGAGGTCTCTATTCACAGTTTTAAAGCTGGAACAAATGTCAACATTCGAAAATCAAGGGATTTCACATAGAAATCCAGATTTCTGGCTTCTCTTGAAACAGAAGATCTGGCAACATTGAGCAGACATTCCTGCATAGCAATGATAGATTGAACAGAAGAGCAGCTGCCCCTGGACGGAGCACACAGCTATCTATGTTACTATGTTCTCCAACTAATCCTCATTACCTTACCCCAGCTCGCAGGGCTTACATTCACTGCCTGGCCACTGTAGGCACCTGAGATTTCAACTGCTAATCTAATATTTCTCTCCATTGTTTGAACTCTGTAATAATCAAAATTGGACTTAAACTCTAAAGATGGCTTGATGACTGAAGAACCGAGCAGAAAGAATACTTCTGACAATGAGGAATGCTGACAGGTAGATGGCATTGATAACCGAGCCAATCTGCCTTGGATATCTAAGTTCAGCCTTATCCACTGGCCTTACTGAACCATAAGCAACTTTACGCTCAGCCATCCCATAATATTGGCCTGTGAATAACTGGTGCTTGCCAATGCTAGTAGGCAAAATTCTAAGATGATCCAAATGACCCATATACATATACCCTTGTATTAAATATAATCTTCAGTGTGGGTGTAACCTGCAACTTGCTTCTAACCAACAGAATATGGCAAAGGTGAGGGGCTATCACTCCGGGGATTGTGCTGCATATTTGACAAAGATGGATGGATATTGCAGAGGTCCCCAAGAAGTTGACTTTGAGTTAATCACAAGGAAGAGTGATTAAATCAAGTAGGTCTGATCTGTTCAGATGAGCCTGTTAAAGGAGGGTCTAAGCCTTCCATGAAGCCAGGGACTTAAAGAAGAAGAGTTGCATGACGTAAAGTTTACAGTGAGTTTTACAGTTGCAAGGAAATGAATTCTGCCAATGAGCTCAGAAGAGGACTCCAAACTTCAGAGAAGAACATAGCCCTGTTGACACCTGATTGCAGCCTCGAGAGACCCTAAAATAGAGGACTCATCTAAGTTGTACTTGGACTCCCCATCCATGGAAACTGTGAGATAATAAATGTACATTGTTTTAAACTGCTAAGTTTGTAGTAATGTGTTATGCAGAAATGAACTAACAAACCATCTACCCTCATTAGTTGTCATTCCAGTAGCTTCCTTCTTTTGGGTGTCCAGGCACAAAGTGCCAGGCACTATGCTTTGCATTTATTAGAGCTGTCTTAGTTTAAAAGCAGACACAATGAAGAGCTTGGAAATTTATTCTTTAAATTTATCTCAACAGGATACATTAATGTTCTTACAAAAATGAAAAAAAAATTACAAATAGATTTTTTTAATATAAAAGGGAAAATGAAACAGATTCCTTTCAGTAGTTTCAAAGCATGAGCCACATTTCAAATATCTTTCCCTTGACTTTGGTATGCATTCCAATTGCAGATTTTCTTTAATACATAAAAATTAAATTAGAGTGCCTTTGTACATTTGAAGGACTGTGCTCGTCTAAATGACAGCTGGCTAGAAGAAGCAGGATCAAGGCAAGAATTCCTGCTGCCCTCTTCATGTGCCCATGTGCACAAGCAGACCCCAAGTCAATGAGGAGGCAACTCTGACAATTAGCATTAGAAAGGACATGGGTGTTCCCTTGGGAAATAAATGTGGTTATGTTCTTAATAAGGGGGTAGGAAGAGGAGGCTCTCAGAGTCAAAGAATCATGCAGACTGACTGGCTTTGATTGGAAAAGATAAGAAAATCAAGTAACATCCTAAGTATATTAGATGCCTGTGAAGACAACATGTGACAATTTCATCTCAAATCAGTTAAAAAAAAATCCCTCTAAACACAGCTATGAGATCAATTTACAATATGTTCCTACTGCTATCTTTATTATGCTTATAGATCCTCTGAGAGAATGCACTTACTTGCTTGGAACTTTGTGTTATTGTTTGTGCTTCGAATCAGCTGAAACGCCTTTTGAAATCCCACCGCATGCTGGGTGGGACTGTCGGAAGACTTGACGCTGCCAACGAAGGTGGACATTTTCCTTTTCGTCTCGCTGGTGGCTGGAGACAGGAAGGTTTTGTAGCACTGGTCCAGTGAGCAAGTCCTGACGGTATCTGCCACAGTTAAAACAGAAATCTGGAGGAAAGGAAAAAGAAAAACTTACCTTACCACTTAAAGGTTGTTTTTTGGTTTTTATGTAATGGAAGAGCCCAACTGAGGGAGAAGGCCTACAGAACCATTTCTGAGAGTTTATTTAATACAAATAAATACCTGGAGGCAATAATCTATCAAATTTGAAAAGGATTAGTAAGAATTGATTAAGGGGCGGCCCTAGAGTTTGTTCTTTGTTCCCAGAAGAAGTAGCAGTATTGTGTGCACATATAACGTTTAAAAAACAAGAAAGGTTTATTTCATGCAGAGAAATATCTTAGCAAGAGCTAACCATCTTGGTTTTCAAATGAGAAGTGGGGTGAGGGTAGGGGAATGGGGTGTGTGTTTTAAGCAAGGAGGTTAGTGAGCGGAACCTCTGGAGCTAGCAAAGGCAAAACAATAAAGCAGCAAATGCCCACGGGCAACAGGTTATCGTTAGCTGTACACGTACCTCCCGCTCTCAGAGGTGTCCTGGAGATTAGTAAAGCACTGGCAGCCTCCCCTCCTCCCCAGCGTCCCATCAATCTTGGGATAAAGTTCAGCCACCCAGCAGCACCCAAATCCCC